TGTGGCGATCGGACGTGTCGACTCTCCGAATTGCGAAGTTTTGTGCGCGGGAGTGTGAATTGTGCAAAAGGCCACCCTAAGGCTTAGGAAGGTCTTATAGGGATCTCTTTTGGGTTTCCTCATGTTGGTTTCACCCTTCTAAGTGCTAGAAGTTGATAACACACACGCGAAGCTCCAGAAGGGGACAGAAGTAGGTTGAAATTCTAAAACGAGGCGGGTCCCATTTCTAAGGTGCTAAGATAGTCGAAAGGAGATCCCTATCCCTAAGGCTAGATCCTAAACCTTAAGAGGAAGACTAAACCTCACTAAAAATGAGGTCAACATCACCTTAATGAGAGATTTGTCGCCTAACTGAGAGGGCCCAGTCTTAGGTAACTTAGTAATATTTTTTTGTCATTTTCTTGTGTTTAGGTAAGCTTTAGATTTCATATTTCAGTCAGAAAAATCACCAACATCCAGGTCTTCCCCATTGGGGTTGAATCCGTAGGCGAGATGGTGCTATGATTATAACTCATTCTAAAGTGGTGTTTATCTATCATTTCTAACATCATCAGCCTTTATCAAAGCCTCCCCACCTGCTGTCTCCCTCCCGCCAGCCCTCCCATTTGCTGCCTCCTTGCCGCCAGCCTTCCAACATGCTATTCCATTTGCTGCCAACCCTTCATACCTACTATCTTTTGCCCCAAACCCTCCAACATGCTATTTCTTGGCCACCAACAACCCCTCTACCTGTTGTCCTTGTCATCAAGCCTTACAATCTGCTATCCTTTCTTGTCAACAACCCAACCCACAGCCCCCCTACTGCAGTCTTCCACTACCTTTGACTCCAACCCTAGTTGGGGGTCTACATTGTGTGTTTGTCATTATATTCCCTTTTCATTGTGATAATGTAACTGCTTATTTGCTTCGAGTAACAATATTTATTTTTCCTATTGTGGTTTTAGTTAACTATAGTATTATTTGGCATTAGCGCTAGCCTACTCTAGTCCATTCCTAGGGTTTCTAGCATTCATCATACTTAAACCTATCTCCAACCCAAAAAATTTCTTTTCCCACCCTACACACCTCCTTCCAACTACTCATCCCTAAACCCTAACCATGTTGCCGAGAAGATAATTACCGGAAACAGAACAAAATACTACCATAGGCGACAACTTACACACACTTCTTTCCAACTTTCATGGGATCGCGATGATTTTCTCAAGTAGAGGCATGCGGTTGAATGGATCTTCAAGTACAAGGATTTGCCTGATGACAAAGGTGTGAAACTAGCCACCATCAAGATGACGAAGAATGCTTCCTTGTAGTGGGAGAACTTGAAACGGAAGAGACAGAGGGAGAGACGGGACAAGATCTCTTTTTGGGAAAAGATGAAAGCGATGCGTCGACAGTACCTACCACCACACTATCGCCAGGATATGTTCATGAAGCTTCACCACATGTACCAAAAGGAGTTATCAGCGGAGTGCACGACAAAATTCATGCAGCTCAAATTGAAATGTGAGTTGAAAGGGATAGAGGAACATTCCATGGCCCAGTATTCGGGAAGCATGAAGCTTGCCAATAGTAATGTGGTCCAGCTGCAAACCTACCAAATATTAAGGCACGTGCAGGCCTTTAGTATTAAAAGTGAAAAGAAAGCAAAAACAATAGAAGTACCCACCTCAATTTAAACAACTCCCTATAATTGGAGACACTAATAAGAGCATGTCTGAAAAGACAGCAGAAGCAGCAGAGTTACTAGCCTCATTCTTCTCAGAGGGGCTTATTTGTAATTTTTTTCCCAAATTTATAGATATCCCCTTTGCGTTAATAAACTCCACAAATGCAATAATTAAGACTGTAAACTTCAACCAACAAATTCAAACCACCTAACAAAACAATTTATATCATAATAAAGAGCCACCAACTTGAGATAAAAAAGATAATTTTCAAATATACCCTTTTGAACCAAAACCCTCAAACTTCTCCCAAGAAAACTACAAATTAAACCAAGATGCTCTGCTTTATGTAAGCTGAGGTCAATATGGGTGGAAAAAAACTGTGTTGGCGATCAGTTTTAGAAATATCGACGATCTCGAATTGCTTATTGGACATTTCCAGCAATTCAGCCAAAGTCTAAGGTTTGTGTAAACTAACGTCAAAAATGAGTACTTAAAGCAAACGACACCAATGAGAGTCAAAGCTTACCTCCAGGGCACGAGGAAGTCTACAAGTAGCACCGAGAACACGACCATGATACGGAGAAATGAAGGCACCTCCAAAACCTATCGAGGAGCGCATCATGGCCGGAAATCCGAAGGAATTCGTCGCGTCGGAGATCTCAAGCCAGAGACACGAAAGGCCCCGACAATAGAAGCCCCGAGCAAACCTGTCCGGACAAATGTAACCGTTGAAGAGACAGAGTCCTTTCGTCGAGCCTCCTAGAAGAGGTCTAGGACGGGAGAGCTATGCAATGCCGCATCCATGCAAAGAAGGGGAAGCCACCCCCCCCCACATTCATCGATGATGATCTGCCTCTCCAGGGAAACCCCCACAACGACACTATTGTCATGACAAGGAAAAGAAATCAACTTCCAAGCTGGAAGTATCCTTATCAACATTGGCAGTTCAGTGAACATCATGTTCAAGTCAATGTTTGACAAGCTTAACCTCCAGCCCGATCGACTAGTAGCGCTGGCCAGCTCGTTGTACAAATTTTTAGGAGAGCGGAAGGAGGTCCTGGGCGCGATTACCTGGAGAGAGGGCGAGAAGCAATTCACAGGGACAGGAGACTTCTTGATAGTGAACTCGTCTCCAACCTACAACACCATTTTTGGCTGACCACTATTGAACCGCTTCAAAGTCATAGTGTCTACTTACCACGCCGCGCTCAAGTTCCCATGACATGGGGGGATGATCACTGTTCGAGGAGATCTAGAGAAGTGCAGAGTCTGCTACCTTCGGGCGGTTGGGAGTATGGAGCAGGAGCCACTCAACCTGCAAACATGTAGGGAAGAAGGTCTTGAGACCAATAAAAAAACTCTAGAGATTCTTATTGCCGACAGCAAACAAGTTGAGTAAATCTTTCCTGATAAGTGAAAACATTTATGCAGGGCACAAGGAGCTGCTAGTTTAAGTGTGGTCCGCCGCAGAGAAACAGAAAATACCGATCGACGTCACCAGGGCAAAAGGAGCCACTCAACCTGCAAACTCGCTCGCTACCCTTCTACGATAACATCCTTCCCTATTGTTTCCATTGCTGTGCTAGCCATCCCAGCACCCTCCTCCACCTCCTCTAAGCCTCCTACCTCACCATCGCAGCCCCATCAATGTGCTGTATGCTGTTGTTCAACCATCCCAACAACTTTCTCCTGCCTTTTCAGCCATCCTACATCATTGCCAAAGCCCCACAACTCAGTCGCCTTGCTGTGCTACTGCTGTCCAACCATCCTACATTGCCATCACAGACCGCTGCCTTCCTTGTTTGCTGCCGCCCCACTACCCACTCTCTAACCTCTTAGGAGGCTTAAATCTTTGTCAGTCACCACCACCACCACCCCAAATCTCGTTCTAGCTTGGGTTTGTGCTGTTAATTGTTGAAATTTTAGTTTTTTCATGAGTCGGTTATAATTTCCTATTTGAATTCAGCAATAATATTGATTTTTCTATTATTTGGGTTAACTCCAGTATCAAAAGTTGAGTTCTTGATCATATTGTTAGTACTTGTAATCATGTTTTTTTTTGGGCAATCTAGTAAATTTCTCAGCCTCTCTCTTCATAGTTTAGATTCCCTAGCACCACTTTCTCTCTCTCTCTCAACTTTCTCTTTTAATGCAGTGTTTCCTTGTTAGCGAAGTTCAGGTGTCACTAAGGACCGATTTGGATTGAGCACTTTCCCCACTTTTTTTTCCCACTTGTTCATATCCTAAGAATTATAGATTTACCACAGCACAAGTCAAACAGAAAAGAAAATTTATCTCATATGACATGACCTCTAGTTACAAGAATATCTTTCCGCTGAAACATATTTTGCACTCCATTAAAAGTCCGGATGCAAATCAATGCTTTCTCGCTAGAATATTTTAGTTTGACTATTACACATTTTTATTAAATACCAATGTTTAAAACAGTAGTAAGAGCTCAAACAATGCATTTCAGAAGAAGAAAACCACGCTTCATAAATACAGATTTGCTGATAAACCTGCCCAAATGGAAAATTCACTCTCAAGTTGCTAAATTGGAAAATTTTAAATCAAGTTAGTTTACCTTCAAGCCAATAGTCTCGGATAATAAAGCTAATTCATTGCATCCCTCGACCAGTTGAAGCTTCTGCTCCAACTTAACCCAGCTTCCATAAGTACCACCTTCATTTCAAATAAGTCATTAATGCATTGAAAGCTACGTCCTTGTCATTCTAGTAGTTACAATGAAAATGAAGAAACTAAAATACAGAAAGCACTTGGAGACATGTTTTGTTGCCTCTAACAGCAGGCCTAGATGAAAATGAGACAAATTAAAATATTGCTAAAACTCAGGTATGAATTTGAGACTAGGAATATGATATACAAGACTCTAACTTCATACCTGAGTTTTACAAAGTCCATCAAAAGTGGAATATCTTAAAGTTTTTATCACTACAAAGCGCATACAAACACACACACACACAAAATCAAATATACGGGAAAAAAAAACCTAGGTAACCTAAGTTAAAAAGTTTGATTTGAATATAGAACCAAACAACACCCACAACACTCGAGTGCCACCCTTTCACAAATGGGCAAATAAAAATGTCTTCATATTTGATAGAAAAGAGAAGCAGAAAAAAAAGAAAAAGGAAAAAGAGAAGAAGATGTTGTTTGTAATTTAAAGTCTAAATTCACAAAAACAACTGCTTTTATGTTTGACAAGTTCTTACAAGTTAGATAAATAGAAATCACAAGCAGTGAAAATAGTACCTATAAGCTGACCATTTAGAAAAATTCTGGCTACATCTCGAATGCTATGTACTGTAAGCGTTGGAAGAATGCCTTTTTCCTTCCAGTATGTGATGTCCTCACCAGAAACATTTATTCTGAATAAAAAAAAGTTTTATGTTGTTTTCTGTTGACCATGTTTCACACTCGAGAAAAATAAATGCACTAAGGATGTAAGGGAATTAAAGCACCATACAATTATTAACATACTGGGCAGGTCTCAAACATGGAAGGATGAACAATATTAGCACTGTGGATCTCATACTAGGAATGTTTATCACATAAAATACAAGGGAATCAAAATTTTGAATAATTTTCCCAACAAACTTGTTCAATTTAAACATGGACCACTCCAAATTTGTAAAATTTTAATTACCGTTTCATCAAACAAGTTGTCTCCAGATACCATTTAGGATATTCTGTTCATGTAGTATGTGAGAAGCTAATCAAAATAATGTTACATTTTACCTTGTTATATACCACAAGTAATCAGAAACATCTTTTGTAACATTAAGATGCTCTAGAAATTTGTGCTCTGTGAAACAGTTGTTACTCCATATGCCTATTGGTTCATCAAAAGCCATCCATGTACTTGACAGACTAAAATCTTCGGTGGCAAGCAGAAGGTTCCCAGTTGCTGCTGTGCTTGAATTGCTAAATGATAGAGAATGGGCGCTTTTAATCGAAATCTGGGACCCTACCTGAAAAGACTCATTAAGGACCAGTTAAGCAAAAAAACATTAACGCCACAAATGACTCAAAAAGCTGATACAGCAAATCTACATCACATAATTACCAAAGGAGATTATGCAGAATATAATAAATCTCATTTTAGAATATCCCAGAGTAACATGTTGAAGAAGCTCCAGAGGCTTCGTGGAAGAAAGAAAAATAAAAATAAGATCCTTTAATAATGTTGAATAAAGGAAATTTAGTGATAACACTTCCCTCATTAGCAGAGCGTAGAAATGCTTCAACATCATCATCTTGATAATGACATTAGCATTTAGCATACAAGCACACAAACATCTTAGACATTTTTAGGTAGATGTATGCCTAGAAAAAATGCCAATCCCAACTTCTAAATTTGGAGTTCATTTTTTGTAAGGTAGATTAATTTTGGATCAATAAGATTTCCACTAAAGTTTTTGCCAAGATTTATTTAAATATAGAATCTAATCTTCTAACCGGCATAAACACGCATAGTTAATCATCCCACACACTCGAAGAAGAGAAATTTCAATTATTGATGGTTACAAGTGCACAAATTCAGGCACAGGTTAAATATCTGGGTTTAATAGACATGATTTCCTTCCGCATTCTCCTCGCATCGCTTCAGGCTGCCCTCCATTGCTTCCCCCATCCCAAACAGCCGCCTGCTGATGTTTTCCTGAAGTTTCCCATCTTCCAGCTGCTGCCATTCACGTTTCGGCTTGATGCCAGCATTGCAGACAGAAAGGAGTTGCTATCCTTCCCCATTCCAGCACCCCCACCCATCCCAAACTCTTGCTATTGTCGTTACCCTGCTGTCCCAGCCATTCCTACCAGCTTCCAACACTCATAACCGCCCCAAAACCCCTCTACCATGTTACTACCACCCCAAAACAGCAAACTACTGCTGTTTGACCTACCATTCCTTGTTTTCCACCTGCCTACCTTGCAGCTGCCACCCAAACAGCAAGGTGTCACCGCTTGTCTTGCAATCCTCTTGTCGTTTCCACTCTTTC